ATGAAAATTAGCAAAATCACCAAACGTGCCTTTCAACTATGTTTAAATGTGTTTGTTAAAAAAAATACTACTAGTAATAGTTCTTTAGGTAACATTAATGGTTATCAGTTAGCCACGAAGTCTCCTAAAATGTTCTGTAATTCACGACACGTCTGGCCAAAACACCAGCCATACCCCTTGAAATGAAAGTGGAATTCTTCAGCCCTTTGAAATGCTGGGAAGTATGGGTACTGTAAAAACACTACAAAGAAAGTAGACCATTAAAATAAAACAGAATAAAGAATAAATTCACACAGTATAAGTGGAGAAAAAAGAGACCACCAGAACATGGCTAACACCAGCATGACTATTTTTATAGTAATATTCCTTAAATCATTTACTTTCCCTTATAAAAGGATCTGAATGATCTCATGTGGTATCTGGTTCCCAACACATCTAGGTTACGAAAGGGATGTGGGCAGGGCAGTGGGATTCTCCCTTTGAAGAGTTGAGTCTTTATCCCATGCACTGACTGTACAGAGAGCCAAGAACACTTAGCAGTAGGCGGTTCCCAATCCTTATAGGTACTTCCACTTCCTCCTTCTGTTACACTCAAAATTAAACTACAGCAGGATGAGAACAATCACAAACTGATACACAGACTTCTATGTAAAATGTAAAAACCTGAAACAAATATGAAACAAATTAAAAGGAAATAGAATTTTTTTGCAAATTACAAGAGGTTCACATTGACAATACTAACTGGATTAGTAACATGAACATATATCAGGAACATGCAATATTTAATGTAAGGATTATAATAAATATATGGCAATGAGTCTGAAGGCTGGATTCTGTTAGCAGAGGTTAGTTTTCTTCAGTATTTTGAATTACTATTCAAATACCTAGACTTACAAAACATACACAATATGCATGCAATACATAAACATTGCTTCTCTCGCTGTGAATGGTGTTTGTATGTGAAAATGAATGAATATATGTGAGAAAAATACTTAGAAAAAATTTATGTTTAATTTCCTGAATAAGTGACTTCTATATTTTCAAAAAGTCACTGTTTAGGAATGTATGTTTTCATCTCATATTACTGCATTTGTCTCCATAGCACAATCTATAATAATACAACATGTGATTACATATCTCTTAACCCAACTACTCAATACACTAGATATGATAGAACATGTGTGTGTGTGTACATAAGTGTAAATATGCAGATATACTGACAGATAATGTGCCTTAATGAGAATTTAAAGAATTGTATTTTAATAGATATACTGTATATATTAATAATGATATACTGTATATATTAATTTTGTTTTGTTATTGTTGAGACTTATGGGAAATTGAGGACTCATTCACATACAACATAACAACATATGATTGATATATTATGTTATTTAATTGATCCATCATCTATACTATATAAGATACTATATTGGATTTTTACTGTGTGATGCAGTGAAGAAATAAATATTGACCCAAAATTAAATTATTATGGACTAGAACTGAATTAAAATGACATCAAAGTAAACTCTTTCAAAGTTAATCCTCTTTTCTAACTAAACCCTGAGCTGTGATACACTGGAAACAGGCAGTAATATTTAAGCTAAAAGAGTTACAGTTAAAAAAAAAAAAATCTACAATTCAGTTTAAAAACTGATTTTTCAGCTATGATAGTTTGGCCTAAATTTCGGGATCTTTGTTCCTCTCAATTCACCTGCTGTGAATGTACTTCTAAAATCCAAGATTTCAGGAACAATACTTGGGGCGATGTATTCACCAAATTGAATACACACAAAGGCAGGTTTATTTACTGAAGTGAGTACCAAATTAATTTTAAAATTAGGGTCAAAATAGATTAACTGGAATAATTCAGCAATGCTTTCAGTTCGACTACTCTGGCCTTACATTTTATATTCACTTTAAATTCGCTTTGAATTCTCACTTTAGTAAAGAGTTTTCTTTTCACCTCAAAAGGACCACAAATGTTGAAATATTTTATGGATCCTAATGTTACCATTTTATATATAGATAGATAGATAGATAGATGTAAAAAACATCTACATCACTGGACTAATAGTGCTACAAGCTCCCCTCTCTCTTTCTCTCTCTCTACCTCTCTGTGTGTGTGTTCTTAATTTAGAAAAATACTTATATTTATGTTACAATTTCATATATTTTTTAATTTAATTATATTATTTTAATAAATGTTTAGTTTGAATATACTTCTTTGCTTACCTTACAAAATAGGATCGGACAAGAAGACATACTAAATATATATAAATGTGATTGTGCTAAAGGACCTGTTGAGTTGGTTATTCAAATTAGACAATTTTTTGTATATATGACATTTCTGCAAAAGTATTTCCAATGCATTTGTGTTGTTTAGGAGTCTATCAGGGTTATTCCTTAAAGTCAGAATTCAAAGTAAATCTCAAATTTAAGGTCAAAATACTGTATATGAAATGTTTGGGTTTTTTTTTAAAGTCAGCAATACTTTAAGTTCAGATAGTTTGGCTTTAAATGTGAAATCCACTTTTGATTTTCTTTGAATTCTCACTTCAGTGAATAGCCCTGCATAATACTGCCATTATTGAAATATTTAAACTTCAGGCTTAAACCATAACCCATAAACCCAGACATTTCAAGATCACGGTTTGTGTGGTTTTATACAATTGTATTGTATATAATGTCTAGCGGTGTGAGTTCAAACATATACAGTGTATTGTGGTGACTTGTACTATTCGGTCACTTAGTGCAATGATTTTCACATTTTAGTTCGATTGTTTCACCTGGGCTGCTTCGCTTACATTTTGTCTCTTCTTACTATTTAGTAAATGGTGCCACTGGATAATCCTGCCTTTTAATAGACAGACAGTTTATTACTCAAGCTACCATATTCAAGCTACCATACTCAAACTGGTTAATACTTAAATTGTAATTTAACAATTTTGAACTTGTGTTTAACAATATAATACCCATATTTCTTCTCAATTGCTATATACAGTAATATTGAGACTTTAAAAAACAATAATAAAAAGCCTGTGCTTGTAAAGGGGTGGATTGGACAATCAGAGATTTGTGGTGAATAAGCAATGGACCAGCACAATTTACATTTTGGACAAATGAACCAAATTAGAAAATAATTTAATGGTGGATAATTGTTTCTCCTCGCCTCAAAGTTTTGATTGCTAAAGAGTGCTGGGTCGTATGTGTTTATCATAATATTTTGAACCACACTACTACAAAAATAAATTTATATATATATATATATAGTCTGCACTTAAAAACAATATGGAAATATTACATATTTATGGCAGTTTTATCAGCTCAAAACAGATTCAAATAAATATTTTCACGTGAAATGTATACTTCTATATTTCTATTTTGTATGTTATATTATAATTTTTACCACTGTGCTTCCTAAATACATATATGCATTTCTCTGTCAAACTGTGTTTAAATACCTGCTTTCCATAGTTTAGGAATGAGGATTATTTATATTACAGTGTAGTATATATAGCATACTGCTTGCCCCTAATATCTCAGTATATCAGCTCCTCGGCCATAGCACGAAATGCACAAGAAGTGAAGCTTCTGGATTTAACTGTACTTTGGGAGGATACAGCCTAACATGCGGTTAATGAACAGAAATCAGCTCTTTCGAAGGCGTCTGCTTGAAATATGCCGTGTCTCCAGTCTATGGCTGCAGGAAATGCAGTTACAGACCTTACTGGAAATGGCTATTACGCTCATGCAATAAACTCAGCTGTGTGTGTGTGAGAGAGAGGAGAGACAGAGAGAGAGTGTGTGTGTGTGTGTGTGTGACAGAACAATTATATGTCTGAATATATTAGACATAAGAATACAAAAACACAAATAAGAAGCAGGCAGAGATTAGATAGATAGACAGACAGACAAATGTTAAACAGAAAGAGAGAGACAGACAAACAAAGGTTTAGATAGATAGATGCATAGATAGATAGATACATAGAAAGAAAGTAAACAGGTAATATAGAAGCAGTTTTGGATAGGGGTGTTAATATCAGATTTCAGGGTATTCCTGAAACATTTAATTACACATTTGTTGGGAATGATAAATCACCTGATCAGGTTTGCCCCTTTTCTTTTAGTTACTGAAAACCAATTGCAAACAATCGTTTTAATTATTGAAAATAATAATAATAATTTTGCGGTGACACAATAAACAGTTCAGCTAAAGCCAAGTAACACCATCTGCGATGAGTATTTCATTCATCCTCAGTGTTTGAGTTTAGCCATAGATAAAATCTTTTTAGAAAGGGCGACTTGATACAACTGAGCAGCACTAATTGTAACGAGGTTTTAAAGCTCTTTCACTGCCGAAATAAATGGAGTTTTAACCCTTCATGTGCCACGGGGTTCAAATAATATCACCACATTCACATAAATCTTATTAAATGGCTTATTTCACAAAAAAATATATATAATTATTGGAATAAAGTAAATTGTTGGTCGGATGAATACATGTACCTTCTTTACATAGAAAAGGGCATTTTGCTTTAGAAGATGAGTTTTCAAGCATTGTACAATGAAAAACAGGCACAAAATCACTGTCTTTTAACTCTTGCCATGATCAATAAATTACCCTTTGTGTCATGCAGATAAAAGAAATCAGGTTTATCAAATAGCATGCCCTGGTGTAACACAATACCCGAACACAATAAACAATGTAATGATTATTATACAACTATATTCTATAAACCCTTAAACATCGAAGTTCAGAGGTACTGACAATTGTAATCTGCTTCTGGAGTTTATTCACTAAACACATATTTTATTAGCCATCACACAAAGACAAGTTGGAAGAAGTCCCATCTCAATAAACTTGGCGACTTTTAATTTGTCCTAAATTTAGCAACACAAGGGGCATCTCACCAGAACTGAAAATTAAGTTAACAGTATTAAATAGTTTTGGATAAAGAAAATCTCTAGATAAGTGAGATTATTTTTCCAACTAGACTGTATTTTTCCACAAGGGTGCTAGGATCACCACACTTCGCTGTTTAGTGAATATATTCAGTTCACAAATGCACACAGACCCCATAAAATAACATCAAAACAAAAATATTACATCAGATTCACAACAGCAGAATGATAAACAAACAAAGGACATGCACTGATATTTTTTAATCCAGCTGGTAGTGTGTATTAACAGGCTTTTCCTAAATACATTGTATAGCTGTGGTAACTCAGGGGTGCATTCACTAAACTTTGACTTTTGGTGGCATAAGAACCGATTTATAATATTTAGTAATAGCCGAGCTGGTACCATTACCTCAAAATTTTATTATTTTCAAGTTTTGCTATTTAATACACTTAGTTAGTCGGTGGTCAATTCATTTCAATTCGCTGTTTAGTGAATAGGTCCCAGTGTAATAAATATTTTTTTTCACCGACCTATCAGAAAAAGAATTTCCAGTTTATCTTTTCAATACTTTAGTATTCTGGATTTATCTCTATAATTGCAAGCTGGCATGACACGTACACTAAAAACATCAAGCCGTGTGATATTTATTTCAAGAACTTATTTTCTTCCAATACATATAATATTCAGACACCACAATACTTACTATACATTAAACACGACAAAAATAAAATAGAAATTCAGTTGTGTACAGCATACCGTGTGCACATTCTTGTTTGCTTAGACGAATGTAGCAATGTTTGTTAAGAACTGTTACTGTGTAACTCCATTGCAGAAACAAACAAAATTGTCAGCTTTAAGTTACAGCAAACATTTTAGGGTAGCTTCCAATCAATGTGACTGAAACAAAAATCAAACATCCCAAAAATAAAAATAAAAAGCATACATGTGTCATAGCAGTGTGTTAAATTCTGACCCCTGTGGATAACTGCCCGAAAGATTCATAATACTGACTGATTTATTTTTTTTAATATTTTTTTCCTGAATAGTTTCTTTAGCTGCAATAACAATATTTAAATTTGACTCACTGATAATATATTTCTGTGGCCACAGAATTAAATAGGCAATTTACATTGTTCCATGTGAATCGTTGTTTTTTGTTTTTTACAATTTTAAAAACAATTTTAATTAAACAAATCTGACTAATATATATATTTATATTTTGTGAGTACCCATGGTGCCACAAGCTGGCATGGCTTTTTTCTCATAGTTCTTTTAAAGGGGTTACGTTTTTTCTTTAATGGCTAACGTAAACATATATGGACACACAGAATTTATTTTTCTCTTTGTACATAATATTTAAGCACAGGCAACAAAACAGGTGTGTTACAGATGAACTTTAGAACATATATACAAGTTATATTAGACGATTGGTAAAGATTTCAGGATATGGAAGATGTGAACAGATGTTTCAAGTCATCCTTGCTGCCAATGGCAGTGACAGAACCACATCCCATTAAAATGGTTGCATTCAATGTTTAATAAGTGTATATCCAGCCCATCATTAGAACTCCTTAATATTCACAGCTGGAGTCCAGGGTTTTGTGACACATTGAGCAGTGGATCCTTGCTATAGATCCAGCCAGTTTAGTTAAGTGTTCCATTCCTATATTAAATATTCCATAGAGTTTTGTGAAGACATGTCCTATACACTGGGAATGAGATAAATATTTGTTCTGGGGTATAGCTAGGTTTCCTCCTCTGGTCAGGTGTTGTGAAGGTGGGGGGTTTTACATTTGGTAATTACTTTCTTTTCTTTGACTCTTCGGTTTTGAAACCATATAGTAACCTGGCGCTCAGAGAGACTAGTGGCAGTGGAGATCCTTCGCCTTTTCTCTTTGGTAATGAATTTGCTGGCTGCATACTCCTTCTCTAGTTCTTTCAGCTGAATTTTTGTGTAGGGGACTCTTTTTTTCCTGCCCCTGCGGTAGCTGCTTACCTCTGGTTGCAGGGGGACCACATCTGCAGTGGAGGATAGAAATATGAGATTGTTATAGTAGATCCTCCATCAAGCACACAAGAACGTAATCTTTTACAGTGTATCACAGCTGATCGAGGGCCTAATAAATTGAATTGTGCAATCACATTATTAGATCTGTACTAACTAGTATAGGGCATTATTGATAATAGCTGCAGCTGATACAAGTCACCGGGAGAAGAACACAGTAAGAGCTAATATCTGGTCTGATGCATTGGAAGTATACATTAATCATCGCTAGCCACTGTCAGTGTACTTTTGCAGTTAAAGTAACAATTAATAGCGATGTTAGATTAACACTTGTGAAATATACTGCAGTGCTGCAGGAGACAGAAACTCACTGACCTGATTTACACATAAAAAATCCCTTCTATATCCAGTTGATTTGTGAAGCAGATGTACAAACCACTAGCTGCGTCGGTACAGTAGGTATTCAAATCCACTAGCCAAACACAGGGTCTGTGCAGCTACATCTTCTGTACATATCGCAGATATACCAGTCACTAGCCACATCCACAGGATAAACAAAACAGATCTTATAATCACTAGCCACATCCAT